TGAATTCATATATTGATATCAAAGCTATTTTTTCACAGAGGGATCAACGTAAACTTTTTCTCTGTACCTTAATTATCATAGGGCCATCTATCTACTAAGCAGAGAAAATGCATATTTACTAGCTAAAAATGCAGGAACTTGCTTCTTTGACTACCGAAATAAGGTACAATCGCTTTCACCATTAATAATGTCTTAGTTAACAAGATTTTGCCAGTTTTAACTAGCTCAAACAACCTTCTCAATCACCTCACTTTTAAAATTCAAGACGCTTGCCTGATATTATTCATTAGATCTCAAGTAAATAGATAATCACTATTGTTATCATCCAATGAATGCCTATAATGAGATGAACAAAAACCCAATAAAAGTAAAAAGGCCGTATTATATAGTTAGTTATTAATTATTTCTATTAGCTTAATTGCATATATTTCTTTGTGTTGTATTTTGTTTGGATGCGCATTTTCCTGACCGGCTGTTGTGACTTATTCAGGCATGGCGAGTAAGCTCGCCCCAAGGACTAGGGCCCTTTTGGACAAAATTATCAGAGTAGACCACGCGGGCGAAATTGGGGCTAATAGAATATATCAAGGACAATTGGCTATTTTAGGAAAGACTCCCGATGGGCCCACCATTTCAGTAAGTTCTTTGAACACCGAAAGTTCAGGCTTCCTATATTAGCCCGCGATTTCAAAAAATCTTTACTTAGTTAATTTTGAAGTCAACATTAAATATAAGTTATGTAGGGACTTTAGCAATGAGTAGTTAATATAACCCAGCTAGCAAGATTCCTGAGTGGTAGGTTTAACTATTGAAAACCAGGATAAGAGGCATTTATCTGATTTCACCTTTATAATAGATTTCAATATTTACTACGCACAAATTGATTTATTCACTGCTTTCTAAAGATCTTCACCAGATGTATTAATTATATTTTTTATCCAACTTGGCCGGATTAAATCGGTTCTACCTTGTGTAAGGGATGGTCCGTGTCCTAGCTAGTTAAGATAGGCTGTGAGAATATCAAATACATCTTCTGTGTCCTGACTACTTGAGACTTTTTCGATACAAGACAGATACTAATGGTACTATAAAAATTCTAGATTTTAAAAGTACTTTGGATAAGGTCTACTTTATTTTGATCTTGCTAGTTGGATTCACTTATATCTTAATCCTAGAGAATGAACACAAATAAGTTTGCTTTATTCCTAGCCTCGCTAATATGGACCAAGGTTTCTTCTGCCAACGTATCTTTATCCAAATTTTAGTTTTGATAATAAGAATGTACAAAATTACGGACGTGAAGCGTAGGCTTAAATTTCGTAATCATTTAAAAATCTAGCCTGTATACTTTGTTGGCTGACTTGGTCGAACAAAATTGTTTGCATTTGAGGCTCTTATATAGGCTAGAGTTTTGACTGACTTATATCAACTTAATTATATCTAAAAGTCCTGATGCCGATTTAGGTATGCAATCTAAGCTTTCACAGAAAATCCATTGTTGAAGGATAGCTTAAGTACGAAAATTCCAGACAAGTTGAATCGCGAAAGACTATACGTTTTCTATTAATCTTCATCCAACCAGAAAGTTGTCCGCTTTTTATTTTCTAAATACACAATTATTTCTCACCACAGTGTACGTTCCTATTGCTATTTTTATCTTTTTTTTGCTTAACTACCCTGAATTTACAGGACCATAAACTATTGATTGCTATAGATTGATGACAATAATCTTATTTCCGATCAAAATGTGACGTATTTGTTCTACCTTTCAGCAAATGTGTGACCAGGAAAAGGTGCACTTGGCGACTTTTGAGGAGCTGATCCCTAAATACCGAGTAAGGCCCACGCTTTTGAGGCCACTTTGGGATGTTTGTGGCTTTGCTCTGGGGATGGGTACTGCTTTACTTGGTCGAGAAGCGGCAATGGCCTGCACCGTTGCTGTTGAATCAGTAATCGGCGATCACTACAATGATCAGATAAGAGAATTGATGGCTGAGGATCCAGAACAATACAAGGCTCTGATTGAGGTAAATTGCGTTATTGGTAATTCGTTTCGCACTTGCGATATGCTAGTCTTTTTTGGTTTAGGTTTTTCTGCCCAAAGTGGCTCGAAGCCCTATGATAAATCTAAGAGTAACTGAATTTTCTCAAATAACTGGGCTTAGTTTCCATTTTACCTAGAATTTACCAGCAGTACCAGCTGGCTATCGCTTCTGTTGCCATTCAACACTACTATGACTGCTTCTTAGCCCTCAAACCTTTTTACTTATCCTTTGGGGTCGCTTATAGGACCTGGGCGAATTCGACTCGTTTCGTACGCACATTCATTTTAGATACAAAGTACAATTACATCCATATCAACACCATGTCTCTTATATTAATTGTGGATAGGTTTTAATCAGATCTTCGCATTTCTTTAAATTAGATTAACTTGCCGTTTACTCCTTAATTTAGGTCATATATGCTTTCATTTCACGTTACCTTCATCATTCTTTGTTTAAATTGTAAACAAGGCTTATATCTTATATATACTGAAATTTTCAATATCATAGATTACCTTTTATTTCATTCTATATTAAGATAATCCGAAAATTTCGTGATGAAGAATTGGAACATCACGATACTGGGCTCCGGAACAACGCTGAAATGGTAAACTGTTTATATGTAGTTAGGAGAGGGTTAAATGACAAAAGTTTCTGTTTTTCGTAATTTATATTCATTGCCACGTGAAGATCGGCGAACTAGCTCAAGTGATTGAAATATAGCAAATATATGCTTTTATATTTATAGCCATTACTAGACCTATAATGGATTTTTGCCTCTCTTTCGCAGCTTAAAAGCAGAATATGTCAGAAACTTAAATATATTTCGATCCCCGTAGGTTTTATTGATCAACAACATAATTATGTTTTTATTCATCAATCACATTAATTAGCAGTTATTTCCGTTTTAACGATAAAATTCAAGTCTAACATTTTAAGCATAACTTAGCATTTAATTTCTTCTGGTCTTGATTGTTTTTTCATTTGTGAAATTATTTTCAGCGTGCAAATACTTCATAAATGAAAGATTATCCAGTCTCTCCCCTTACTGTCCTGGCTAAATGGGATTACTATTTGTGATACGAAGACTGCAAATATCATTAGTATTAGTATTCGGTCGCAAACGTTAAGGAATGTTTAAAATATCCCAACAAGAGGAGAAATTAATCTGGTCTTCTAGGAAGCACAGTGAGAGACTTCTTCATTACATTTATTTTATCCAGCCTTTCACAACTTTGCTGATTACTTATCTGCATATTCATTAAGCGTTTCCTTTAGCTCACAATCGGCATATGGATATCTAGCTAT